GTAGCTCGATCGATATTTCCGACGTGAACAGGATTATACAATCTTTCTTTAATTTTTTTTATATACAATCAACTTTTGTGTGCACACATTTTTCCGCATTCTATTCTTACTCGAGGAAGACGACGCTTGAAAGAGGAACGTGCGCGATATATCGCGCGTCCTTGAATAAGATACATTCCGTGTATGTGTCCCGTTGGCAAAATATTAACGAGAAAATTTATAGAAGCTGAAACGAAGAATTATATCTGACACGTGCGACTGTATCAACGAGTCTCGAGTATCTCTGTACGTGTATTGTACGTGGAGAATTTTTATCGGGACTTATTCTCGGTGAAGTCTGCTCGGATCAAGCTGGTAGATAAAAAGGGATAACTGAAAATATTTTTAGACTTTATGCGTCACAATAAAATGCATTTTATTTATCACGAGTCTCTCCATTACGGTTTTGACACACGCATGATAATACCATTTTTTTAAACGTACTTTTTATATATACAATCAACTTTTGTGCATTTTTCCGTAGTCTGTTCCTGCTCGAAGGAGATAATTTTTGAAAGAGAAGCGCGCAAGCAAATTTTTCTATCAAAAAATGATATTTGAAACGTAGAACTTATAGGAGATAAACGTCAGGCCATTCTTCTACGAAGTGAAAAATGTCATCCGTATGCAAAACAAATTGCGCGACAGCTTTCGAGACGTTTCATTATTCCTCTGCGAGCAGGGCGACTGTCTAAGCTGTTTCCCTCGCCTGAGAAATTTAATTCTAGCCGGGCCTACGAATGCCTGACGTCTTTTAATATCACGGTCACGAGGAGTATGACGCACCGTCACCTGTGGTCGGTCCTTCAAAAATGATTAACCCGATTAAAGAAGAACGGTGCGGTCCCAGCCGCACCGATGCCGATGAAAAATGGAAGTCTCTCGCCCGGACGAAACAAAGGAACCATTAACTCCCCCTCGTACAGAGAACGGTATGTGACCGCGGACCTTATCCTAAACAATACCATTATGCGAATTTTTGTCGAATAACAAAGCAGACAAACTTTCCAACAATATTATACAACGTACAATGTAATATAAAAAGAGTTATTAAAATAAAATAAAGCTTTAAAAAGCTTTTAGACTCGTGTATTATACAACGAAATAGAGCAATTTTAATATCTACGAAATTGTTATACTTTGCTGTTTTTCTATCTAAATAATGCTTGTTTAGTTGACCTTGAATTATTGCGTTGCAATACATTTTGCATCACAGAGAAATCACAGAATGATATAAAAAATTCATTCATCGTGGCTCCAGTCACAGAGTCCATCAGCTGGGAAATTTATCGATTTTCAATTAACTTGACTGTCAATATGTTCGATCGCTTCGTAAAAATAAAAGGGACGCGTCGCACTGACAACCGATTTGTCATGCTAACGAACGAACGTTCATTAACATTCTCGTCTGTCACGACTGCGCCAGCCAATGTGACATTGTACATAATCCTAACATCAAACAGACTCATTAACGGTGAGATTTCGTTGAATGAAACTGGTTGTCGCGAACGGATCGAAGATCGGAGGCCTTGAAAGGAAAGACTACCTGTTGGTATATGAAATCTTTGTCAATGTGTGACTTTGATTCTTTTCGAAGCTTCTTATTTCAAGAACCTTCGTTATCTGGTTCTTATCGGATTCGTTATGACAAATTTCCCTCTTTAAGATATTTATTAATCATTTCAAGGCGTGGAATATTTATTTGAATATTCAAATGAGTACTCTTTTTACTTTTATTACATTCTACGATTGTGTCTAACAATCCATTTATCAAATTTACTACTGTCTTGTAAATGATTTATTTGATCAATATTATTAATTACAGTAATATTTATTACATTAAATTAATATTAAAAATTGATATATAATTAAATTGTTTGTTATATATTTTGAAATAAGTCGACAAGATTTCAGGAGATTTTATTTCTTTCCTTCTACTTTGATTTTCTTTCTTTGATAACAAAGCAAATTTTAAGATATCGCCTAATGAACGGCTGATGCCCAATTAGGCGTCGAAGTTTCTTTCCAAGTTCATATCAGAAACGCCGCAAGTCCTGAAACCAAAAGCTTTGTTCCGTTTCGCCTGACACGCGTAACATCAGCTATTCGAGCCGCTTTTATCCTCCACAACCGTCCAGCGCGGCTTAATGAAAACCGTGATTGAAGCCAGTGCACGGATGCCGATCGATCCGCCACATATCACGGAGAGGGTGTCCAAGAGCCAATCACGGGGAACCGTCAAAGGGACGATCATTTTTCCCCTTTTCGATAGAATTCATGAGTTGACTTTGCGCAGATCGTACTATTAGTTTTTGCCGCTGTGTATATTTGAGCCATTAGGATAATCAAAACGCAGCAATAATACTGCTTCCAAAATCTATGGAAAAATTATTTAATTCAATCAGCGCTCGTATAAATCAAGCTTCGTTTGTTAAATTTGCAATTTAAACAAACGCAAATTTGTAATTTTTTCTCACTGACAATGAGAAACATAATAATACAGATAAAGAATTCTATAATTGTATGAATATTTTTAACTTCTTTACGATTTAATTATCTAAACAGATTTTTTTCAATTTTCTTTATCGCGTAAATTTGGATCGCTTTGCTTTACAATTTTGTAAAAAAATTTGACAATAAAATGTCGAGTATCTTTCGTTATTTCTGATATTCTCTTCATATACTTAATAAATTTTTCATTTTGAGAATACTTCAAAGACATAAATTGAAGCGAGCAAAAATTTAATTTATTCCCCTGACGCAATGTAATTTTGATACCGGGCTGATACTAAAACCTTTGTGTTCTGTACGGATGTGTCTCGTATCTTTTTTTTTCTGCCCGTATCTCGGGAATCGACACTAAATTAAATTGGCCGACACTTTGTAGCTAGATAGACATCGGCTTTTGTTTACTCCGGGATACGGGGTATTGATCCCCAACGTCTTCAGGGAGGCCTCCCATTTCGACGAATGACGGATAATTTCTTCTTTTTCCCTGTCGCGGAAAACTGAGCGCCGGTTCGTGAAACGGGCCGGATATACTCCTTGGAGACCTCGCATCGTTTCTCCTCTTACGTTTTATTAACTCTCGGTCGATTAGTCGACCTCGAAGTATCCCACCTTCGATCGACCGTTTTGGGATTTGCTGTCGATTCGTTCTCTTCTTTATACGCCGTAATTACGGATATATTTCACGCAAAATGTATCATCATTTTGGGATAGTAAGAGATCAACTTCATGTATGTGTAAAAGCGATAATAGCTAAACAATTACTTTGCATGTAAAATATGTAATATTAGCTTTAAGAGAGATATTTTTTAAATGTTAATATTGAAACGAGAATACATCGATTATTCTTCCAATGGAGCCTGGTTTTATTTAATCATGCACTCTAATTAAATTTACATTGCCTTAATAATGAATAACTTTATATCTAGTCTCTGTATCATATTTTTTGTTACATTAGTGATAGACAGAGAAATGAGTAACGATATATTTTCTTTCAGGTACAATTATGCTTGTCTTATTGATTGAAGCAATTATTCTATTAACTAACTGCTAAACTAAGAACAATTATTTTGTTTAAGTTTGCAACAGGAGTGCAACACCGGCTAATGTCCATTTGGCCGGTTTGTCCTTGGTCTTCAAATTGAAGGTCCACACATATGTCGGGCCCCGCATGCGTGTCTTGTATACCGGACACTCGTACATGTTCCTCAAATCCTGTTTGTCCTGCGTGATCGCGCGTACATTAATCACGGGCATCGCTGGATATAATTCCTTAGGCCTGGAGTCGACGATGATTCCTGTTTGGACGTCCCATCGCGCGCCTTCCATAAATATTCCGTGAACGTAGGCCCCGTCCCTCGGTGCCGACCTAACACGAACGAATCGGGAAGGAAGTCACTCCTCGGCTCGATGTTGTACGACGAATTAAGTTAACGACTGATAACTATTCTGCCCTCGCGAGCGCGCGCGCGAGCTTATCGTGAAACTTCAACTTCCGTCTAATTATCTTTCCTACTCACGTGAACTCCTCCTTGTTCTTCTTGGTCACGTCGCACTGTAGGCACATTTTGTCGAGTGGTAACTCGTGCCTCCTCGCCGTCGATTGCATGATGGCGGTGAGTAACGATTGAGGATTAAAGAAGCCGGCGAGCCACACGGACGCCGGCAACTAAAAAGAGAGATGATTCATTTTTCGCACGTATTCTTCAAACGCGAATTGAGGTAAACGGCCCACTTTCTCACCCTGACGCACTTACTGACCATATCGATATATTTTTATTTTATTAATATACCTTTTGACGTTAATTATCATATCAATTATCAATTGGATAAATAACTATGTATAACTTTTAATTGGAAAGAAACTGACGTTTTTAAAAATGAATAGTTAGAAATAAATTAGGGGCTCGCGCAAGTCCCGACAATAGATTGGTACACGGAAAGAATTTTCTCTTAGAATTTATCCCGAAAATCATGGTAATCATGGGACAATATAATATTGGAAAAATTTTATAAGAGTTTCTCTGATTAATATTTATCACAATAAAATATTACTATGCGCATAGTAAATTTAATCGAACATATTCTATATCTTATTGTGGTAGATATTAATATTTTTGTGTGGTAAGTATTAATCAGAGAAACTCTTATAAAATTCTTCCAATATCATGATTTTCAGGGTAAATTCTAAGAGAAAACTCTTCCTGTGTATTTTTAAATAAACAACTTTATTATAATTTCCAGTTCTATTTACTTGCAAAATAAATGTATATTACAGAGAACTCTGATACGCGCGAAGGAATTATTTGTCATCAATTTTATTTTATATTGCTTTTGTAAATAAAAAATAACTGTTCTTTTTTGCACTTAAACGGTCAATAAATGGGCCTTATTTATCTCATCTACTCTGTCTCTATAATACATACAACGAAATCTGTGGACCATGTTTCTAGCTCTCTGATTCTCAGCAGCAGATCGACGAACCAAGCAGTTAGGCCCGACAAAGACGGATAAGCCCTGCTGGCCCAAACAGGCGGAACTTGATCGAAGAACAGCGCGTTCTCCAAGTCCTCCATGTCTGATGTTATGGTAAGTTCGCCCTTGAGACCCAGATCCAGCTCGCGCAACGATCGTTTAATCTCAGTCGTCAGATTATTCATCCTTTCGCATTCTTGAAAAGCGACGATCACGTAAGGTGTTCGTTCCTCTACCTTTCCCATTATTTCCGTCATGTTAAACTCCTCGGGTAGTTTCTCTATTATCTCGTCCAATACTTGTTTCACCTGCGAAATAAAACGAGAGAATCATTTATTTTATTAGATTTCTAAAAAAACGAATATAATAAAATGAATCTTAAAAATAAAATATTGCTCATTTAGTTGGTGTGTAATTTTTAATTATTGCGAATATAACAACCTTCTCCTCTCTGGTAATGGTTTGTCCTCCTGAGCTACCAGTATCTCGGGGTTGCATTTCGAATACTGTTCTGAATAAGTTCTCAGCCGTCATCGTCAGAAAACCAATTTCCGCGTTCGGATGTAATCCGTATAAATACGGAGATTCCGGTGGTATAGCTTCGTCGATATACGTATGATAACCGATCAAATCTGTATTAGGAGGCGCGGCGAAACCTTGAAATATCAAGTAACATTCATGAAAAATTCATATGAAATATTCACGCAATGAATTTTCATTTAATATCGAAACGACTGAATTCGCGCATTTAGTTTACCCGGTGCCAGTTGCAGTTCTCCATCAATCAAGTCAGGCTGCATTAATTCTTCAAGATAAGACACGCAAAGTCTTCTGTCCCAGTCGTCTGTTATATGGCCACCGTACATAATTTCTCCGAAAAGATACCTTTTCGAAGATATTGGATATTGTGTTCAATTTTTTCAGAATGACTTTTTTTCAATTAAGTTATGCTTATATATATATATAAATTTTTAATAACTATTTTTTATATTTCAATTATAAAAATTCTTTATAAATATTTTTACATATATTTTAATTTTATAAATATATATATAGGTAATTGATTTTGGATAATTTTGTGCAATTATTTTTTATTTTAATTATTAATATAATAATATTAACCTTAAATCTTCCCAAGGTACTTTCGGACTTGCTTCTAAATAATTATATAGCACACTGACACTGATGTTCAGATCTCCTACATTGAAGGGGTATATTTTATTCCAACCTTGGGGTCCGAATTTACGACGCTCCGCGACGACAGCGTGGAAGTAGCACAAAGAAAATAAAATCGCTTTGAACTCAGCTTCTTTAGTACACATTTCTAAAGTTTCTTGAGTAAAATTGTCTAGAGCTTTATGTAAATTAGCTTGCATGCCAGTCGGTGGTTCGTTTGTAATTTTAATTGACGATTCCAGAATACCCTAAAAATCATTATAAAAAAGTACATCTTTTTTAGAGTAAAATATATATATTATGAATAGATTGTTGAAGTGTATAAGAGATTATATATGTATCTTTATAAATTATACTTTATAATTATATAAAGCTAAGTTTGATAAATTTAAGAAATTTAATTATATATAAATTATATATAATTATTAATATAATTTAACATTGAAAAACATTCCTACTTGAGGTATTATATGGCCGGCTGCTGTACTAGCCGGTTCTGCGCTCATAAACATTCTGTAATCGGGATGAGATCCTTCCGCAGCTACTTCCAATTTCTTCTCCAACAACGGAAGCCATTTTTTTACCAAATGTATATTTTGTAGCACCACCCAGTGACCATTTTGGCTGCTATGTCTATAGCTTGTTCGGCCACCGTTTCTTGTCCTTGACCAAGGGATACGTTATGGAAGTTTTGATCATCCGATGTAAACCCAAGGCGTCGACCCAAGTCTTCAACATCCTAATATTCCGATATATCATATTTTTGGGGGTTCCTTATATCTTGTTCTCAATATTTTATAAAACATATCTCAATATAATAGTTATTGTATTTATATTATATTTATAATATTTATCGTATTAATCTTACAGTGTGTCTATTATATATTTAAATGGTATTAAAAGAAACCTTTTAAATATATCACACATACACAGAATTATTGAAAGTGCTTTAAAAAATGTTATTCATAAAATAGCAGTAAGAGAAGATATTACATAATCACCTTTAATGGATTAACTCCGGGCGATAAAATGAAGAAAATAGGAGTACCCGGGCTAGTTTCCTCATAGGATTTTGCAAATTCCACCGTTCTCGCCTCAATATATCTCGGACCGAGCTTTTCCTCGATAAACGCAGCAATGGCATACGTCATCCTGTCCGGTCTCAGAGCTCTCAACATGCATAGACGTTGTATAGCCGTTTTATTTTTCCACTCTTGAGGAAACTTCTCGCGCTCTGGGCATTCGCACTCTACGAACTTTTTCCAACGTTTGGCGGAACTCTCGATGTCCCGATCCAGATTCCTTCAAACAAGCAAGACGGTAGGTAGAAAGTAAAGCGCAACAATGGAATAACAGTTTCTCATCCTACGCACCGAAACTCTTCTCTCGTAGAGAGGCTTCTTATGCCACCCCAGCTGGTATTGGTGAGAAAATCGACGGGCGAGGTGACGTGTGGCGTTATAGGAAATCTTAGAAGAAAGTCCAACTCGCTAGCTGTAACTTCGTTTCTCACCAATAAAATTTGAAATGCCATTTGCGAGGCGAAGATTAGCTTGTCGCACTCGAAGAGACCCTGCTAGTGTACATGAAGACAGAATATGTGATGCATTCAATCAGATTTTGCACTCTGCCCGCGACATCGGGCGCGGGATCAGCCTTCAAGATCGCTTTCTGGAAGACGACGCTGAACGCCTTCAACGAAAATTGATAGATAGGATTAATAGTATTCAGATCATTCAGAATAAAATATAATAAGGAGGCCCTTGCTGCAGCTGGTCGATATAATTCTCGAGCTGCGTCGATCTCTCGACTTGTACCGCGAGCCTCTGTAACCTTGGACTCGATCTCTGCGGCAGTACGCTTCGTGGTCTCCAAATTCTCCACGAGAGATGTATCTTCGAGGACATTGCTACCAGCTGACGATAATCTATGATAATGATAAGTAACATAATTCATAAAATTAATTGTTAGATATATTGTAGATTTTTAAATATCGACAAATATATACTTTTCCTTTTTTTATCCATTATAGACAAACAAATATTATTTATAAATAATTAAAAATAACTGTGTATCATGCACATTTATATATATGAGAAATATTATAATTATTTTTAAAATGTATTTTTCATACGATGATAAATAGAATCTATATAAAAAATGTTTTAAATATAATTTATTATATTTTTATACGAATCTTACATTTTAAATGATATGTAAATAAATTTGTCAATTGTTTAACGACGAAGCACTAATTTATACCTCGAAAGAAGTGAATCCTCGAGACTATTGAGAGTAATCTTAAAGTCATTCTGTTGCCTGGTAAGCTCTGCCTTCAACTCCTCCAAATCTGGTCTCTCTGCCTTAACTACTTCCGCAAGCAATTGATCCTCCAAGCCATCCCTCGTTACCGTAAAATTAATCAACGTGGTTTGCGCTTGCATTTCCGGCTTGTAATGGGGATTAGCCAACTTCGTGTGTAGCAGCAATCTGAACATAGAATTGTATTCCACCTCTTTATCGCCGATCTTAATGGCTCGACCCTTCTTGATTAAATTTCGGCCAAGTAGAGGATCCAGAACAGGATCTACAGTCTCTCCAATGTTCTCCAACAGAACTGTAGATCCATTTGCCAAAGATAACTCGATCACATCCAAATAACCACGTTGACCTAATCTAATTACTTTCAGCTCGTCTCCGTATTTTTCTTTAATCCATTTTATTCCTTGAAGCTGTGAAATATATATATATATATATATTTTTTTTATTAAATTACATTTATCTTTAGATAATTTTGTTACACGCATATACCTGTGGATCTATCATCAACGGCCAACGATCGGAGTTTGTCAATATTGTAGCATTTTCTGTCGACATTCGATCGTTCGGCAAACCCTCGTTATTCCATTTGGCGATCTGTGTGTCGTCCGTTAGCAGCGAAAGAGGATCCAGACCTTCGGTAATTGGGACCGTCGGTTCGACGGTACGTATGAAAGGTAACCATTGCTTGTTTAGTAAATCCTGCCGGAATTGTTTTGTAAAACAACCGACGTAGGATATGAAAGCTGTCACCAGCAATACATCGCCGGGTAGCGTCGACGCTTGCTGCATAAAGCTGCAAATTTTTATACAATTTTTAATTGCTAACACGACACAATGAGAGATGCAATATACGTTCTGAAAGCTCACTTGGCTACCGAATCGGCCCAGCGAACGTTCTCAGACGCCAGACCACCGACTAATCTATTCGCTAATGCGATTGTTGAATTAGTGGCATCGGCTTCCTGTTGACATTTTAATTTTTCGGCCGTTGCTTGCTCAAAGTCCGCCGTTAATTTCGCCAACTGTTCTTCCAAGGACTAAAAAAATCGGATTATCTGGATTATTTCAATGGTGAAAAATTTCACGCATGAAACACAGATATATAATAACTTTGTTTCTTTGAAGTATTGTAAATATAAAAAATTTGAAATGTCTTTTTTTATTCACTTACAGCCACTTTTCGCTTGATACCACTCAGTTTTTCCTGAGCCGCGGCTAATTCTGCATTCGCATGTGCGAGTGCTTTTCGTTTCGGTTCTACGTCGCAAAAACTTCGTAAAATTTGATAATATTGATCACCCAGGCGCATAAACCCGCTGCGGCGGCTGATTTGGATCTTACAAATTCAGGCTCGAATTCAGAGTCCTTGAGATACGGTTGTATTGCTTTGATCACTTCAGGATGTATATTCTCTTTGTCATAATTAATCAAGGCATCCAAAAAAGTATCTACTTTCGCCATCACGATCTTTATAGAAAAAAAAGTGAAAAATATATTTGATATTTATCATTTTGAGGAAACACAACGAGAGAGAAATTCTCAAATCGTTTCAGTCGATTTAATAATACCTTGGCAGCTTTCCAACTTCGATCCTTAGGTACTTTGCCAGCTGGTGC